TGTGTGTGTATATGTATATGTGTATATATGTATATGTATATATATATATATATATATATATATATATTGTATACATATATATATATTGTATACATAGATCTATATACATACACACAGATGTACATCCATACACACCAGGTAAGTATCCACTCACCGCCCGTATGCCCAGCACATCCTGGTCGAAGGTCACCTTCGCACTAGCCGTCAGTAGGTTCACAGACACAGCCACAATACCCTCCTGCTTGCTCAGGTGCGTCTCTATGTTGTGTACACATGAGGCGCATGTCATCCCCCCCACACTCAGTGTGGCTGTTGTGATGGACGCCTGTGCGTTCTGATTGATTACTTCGCCTCGCACATCCAGCACGCTGGTGTCGTAGCCCATGTCCTCAATAGCCTCGGCAATGTTCTCGGCTGTAGTCAACCTAAACGAAGGCAAACGGAGTGCGTTGGTAGGTTAGGGTGTGGAGGAGTGTGGATGATAGTGTGCGTGTGCGCGTGTGTGCGTGTGTGCGTGTGTGTGTGTGTGTGTGTGTGTGTGTGTGTGTGCATGTGTGTGTGTCTACAATTAAACAACAACCATGTACCCTGTGTAACATATCATATGCCTTTTCTACAGTCAGTAGAACACATCCCTGACTATACTGTACCTTGAGTTGTAAGTCAGTAGAACATATCCCTGACTATACTGTACCTTGAGTTGTAAGTCAGTAGAACATATCCCTGACTATACTGTACCTTGGGTTGTAAGTCAGTAGAACACATCCCTGACTATACTGTACCTTGAGTTGTAAGTCAGTAGAACACATCCCTGACTATACTGTACCTTGGGTTGTAAGTCAGTAGAACGCATCCCTGACTATACTGTACCTTGGGTTGTAGGCTACTGTGGCCTTCTCGCCCAGCAGATTGACGGATATGCTGTTCACAGCATTGTCCTTCGTCATGAGCTCCTCGATGTTAGCCACACACGACGCACAGGTCATCCCTTCAATCGATATCATGGCAGTCCACTCCTCTTCTGCAAGGTGCAGCGTGTAGAATTTTAGGGTTTTGGAGTTTTGGGGTTTTAAAGTTGGGCGCAGTTGAGGTATACAAGGCTGTAAACAAGGTATAGATATATATAAATGAGAACATCCCAAACCTACATGCATGCTAAGAGTGTGTTGTGCTATATATATGTGCGCGAATGTATTGGTGCACTCCAACCTGCTGCTAAGATGTTCGCATTTCTGCTGTGTGTGTGTGTGTGTGTGTGTGTGTGTGTGCTGTGTAGTGTGATCCCCTCTTCCTGGACATACGTATCTAAATATATACCTGCATGTGTATCTATCTGTACGTACACATATATATACCATAGTACACGTACACCCACACCTTCACCTTCACCTACACCTTCACCTGCACCTACACACCATTTATACTGACAGCGCTCTCTCCTTCAACCGCAATGGCCGGAATGTCTTTCATGGATGTCGGCTTCTCCGTGATCGTCTTTGGTACAGGCTGCTCTTCGCGTATAGTATCCTGCACCACCATATTGCTCACGGGCTGAGAATTGGCTTTTGCCGAATTCACACTGCCATTTCTCAGTGGAGAATCAGCTATCATCGGCTGTAAATTGGCTTTTGTCCGCCTTTTGACATCGGCAGAACTGGCTGGCGCGGGGGTGAAGTCGTAGTCACTGCAGTGACTGTCTTGCAGCAGATGTCCCAAAAAGGCTTCCCAGTCCGAGATAGGCTGTATGCAATTACAACCAGATGCAAATGTTTTAAACTTTAAACTTTCAAGCCAATCCACCCAGTGTTCCTGTGCACAAGCACCCCCCACCACACACACTCATATATATATATATATATATATGTGTGTGTGTGTGTGTGTGTGTGTGTG